CACCACTACTGTACACACCACTACTGTACACACCACTACTGTACACATTACACGACTGCACTCATTACACGACTGTGCACTATACACTAATGTACACTCCACTGCTATGCACTCTTGGGTTTTTTTTATTAGAAAGACCAAAAATTACTCTCGGAGGGGAAGCTTCTATCCTTCGCCGTGTTCGAATCATTCAGATTTAAACATCATAAAATGCGTATTTTTTTCGTTTAAAACCTCTGTTCGCAAATGCTTGAAGCGACGTCCAACATACTCTTTGGTTCTTTCGGTAATGTCACGTAGGTATAAAATAAAATAAATCACAACGTTTCGATCGCAACACAAGCGGTTGTCCTCACGCGGAAAAAATATAATCCAGCAGTGGAACTGCTGCTGAAACATCGTGATTTATTTTATTGTCTACTTCCGTGACTTTACCGAAAGAACCAAAGAGTATGGATCCCTGCAGTCACGAAAGCTTCAAATCATCACCATCCAACACAATAAAGAATTAAAGCTTTCGTGCCTGCATAAATTACTCATTGTTTTTTTTTCGGTGAAGTCACGTATGAAATAAAATTAAAATAAAATAAATCAATCACGACGTTTCGACCGCAACACAAGCGATCTTCATCAGGTGTAAAAAACAAATAGCACATAGGGTGACATCAACGCAACACATAGAGAGCGCCAAACTGCACGGAGGCAAATACAACAAGATGAGAGACGAGAATTCCCCAAACCTATGAAAAAATTTACGTGATGCAAAACCAGTCAGGCCAACAACACAGTTAGACACTCACCTGGCGGACCACGAATTTCAGAAGAATGCTAAATTTCGTGTTCATCCTCTGGGTTGGACGTACCAGCATAGACCGAGTGAACAAATACGAGGTGTAAGATAGCATAAATACATATACAGGGACACCAAGAGGTAAGAAGAGGAAAGACGGACAGGGCCGGAGTGATGAACAGAGGCTTGAAATAAGTAGTAGAGGTGGGGGGAGGGGCCAAAGAAGCAGAAGAGGGGGGAGGGCCAGGAAAATGTAAGGGGGCGCAATTAGTTTAGTACAGAATTGTAAAGGTAACTTCCCCGTAGAAGTGTGTTAATAAATAATTAAAGCTTTCGTGACTGCATAAATTACTCATTGTTTTTTTCGGTAAATAAATATAGACAACACGTTCTACTTAATAAATAAACTTTTTTAATAAATGTTTTCTGCTACAACATCAAGAGTGCAGCACCACATTAAATACGCACTACAATGACAATAGTTTAAAGCGATTTGAAGCATGTCTTATATATTTTTTTGCGGGGGAAGGGGGGGGCAGAGCTTTGTGACGTCATATTTGAGGGGCGGGTCTAACTTTTTGTGACGCCGTGTGATGACGGGGGGGACGGGGTCCAAAATCATCCAAAATCGCGTGACGTCATTTATGGATGGCCCCCAAGTCGCCCGCGCTTTTCCATCGCCTTACGGGCCCAACGCCGCGAGGCGCACTTGCCCCTCCTGTGACTCCCAGCTGGCGCTCCGTGCCTCCCCTACTCCATCCCGGGATGATGACCCGGCTCTCGCAGGCTCTTCCGTGAGTTTGTGCCGTGTTGCCGACTCCACCCCAGCCAGTGCTTGCGGGAAGGGCGTGCGCTCGCAGTACGCCATTCTCGCCGCCTCGCTGGTGAGTGCCTTGCGGGGGGGGGGGGCTGCCTTACGCGTGTGACCGTGGAGTGCTCACTGCTGTGCCCGGCCGTCTTTGTCTCTCCGGAGACATCACCGATGTGTGGCCGAGCCCCACCATTGGTTCTCGCTGGTGATAGTCTGCTGGGGGGGGGGGGGGGGGGGGAGGGGGGCTGCACACTGCGCAGTTTAATGGTTTGTTGACTGTTGCGTCCCCGCAGACTTCGCCGGTGTGTCTGTCGCCTGTGTTCCACCATCGGTGGTCGCTGGTGAGTACCAGTCGGCTGCTGCTCAGGCTTCCTCCTTGGCAGTTTGCTGGCAATTGCTCCAGCCTGCCCCTTCATGTGGTTGTGCAATTGTAGTGGGTTCCAGGACACAGACACGGCAGAATAGAAGCAGCACTATTTATTTAAACCTTAACAAGGGTTACACTAGAAGGGGTAGCGGCCCCTTCCACCCGTATAACTCAGGAACACACCCCAGGCTCTCTAGCCTAAGCTCTAGACTCCCAGTTCCTCCTGGTAGGGCTCTAAGGGAGGCTATCAGATCCGGCCCTGTTAGGCACAGATCTCGGCCACCCGCCGACCAGACCGGCCCTTGGAAGGACTCTGGGGCTCTGGGGCCGCACCACCGGCTTGCTGTGCCGGCCCTGAAAAGGGCAGCGGTCACAGGAGTTCCAGGGTCTCACCTAGCTGGCCCTTCCTTTCTTGCACTGGTTGCTTCAGCCTCGGGCCCCACACTCTGCCCCGAGCTCTCTGGCTCCCCGCACTTTATACCCACTGGAGCCTTAGCGACGTTGTTGTAGCCACCAAGGTGTGGGTGAACCACACTTTCCCGTGCCATAGTGTTTATTCCCCATAGCACCCCTACACAATCACCAAATCGCTGCTTTGCCTTCGCTGGGCAGCGGTCACCGGGCTATTATATTTGCCACTTAGCCGCCCTTGGTCCACCGCTAAATATACTTAAGCTACCTGCTCCATTCCATCATATCTCATGCAATCCAACCCCTTCCTAATCTCCCCCCCCTCTCCAATTCTCCACCCTCCGCTGCTCCACTCCGTACTATCAAATTAAACTAGGGCTCTGGAATGCACGTTCCATTTGTAATAAATCTGCTTCAAACCTTGATAGTTTTCTGTCCCTCCATCTTGATGACTTCACTCTCAGTGAAACTTGGGTCTCACCACGTAATGCTGCCACTCCTGCTGCTCTGTCTTCTTCATAATCTTCTTTTATTCATACTCGCCAGTCAGCTGGTCTTTTTTTTCCCTTCTTGGATTCCTGCTTCCCCCATCCCTTCAACGATTCACTTCCCTTCATTTGAATTCCAACTCACATCCTTTTCTTCCCCCAACCCCATCACTTTCCTTATAAGCTACCGTCCACCTGATACTTCCAATTTCTTCAACCATCTCGACAGCGTCCTCTCCTCAGTCCTTCCATTCACCCACTCTAATTTTTCTTGGAGATTTTAATCTCCAGGTTAGCACCCACCCATTGCCTCTACCCTCCTTCCCCTCACTAGCTCATTTGACCTCGATCTTCTTCTATTCCCACCCCTACTCACACCTCTTGCAACACTTGACATCTTCATTTCCATCTACACAGCCTCTATCACTACGGTCCCTCTCCCATCCTCCGATGACCTCCCCCTCTATTTCTCTACCATGCCCCCTATCCACAGTCCCATGATGGCTCATCCCATTCTGCGTTGCAACCTCCGCTGCCTTCAAATTAGTTCAAAAACTGCTCACATTTCCTTTCTCCTTCCTATTTCCAACTTCTCATCCTTGAACCCTGACTTAGCTTCCTCCATACTCTCTAATTATCTTTCATTTTCTCTCAACCTAACTCCCTTCCATCTCTGCACCCCCTCATCTAAGCCTCCATAACATTGGCTCACTCAATCCTATCATTCAGAGCATCGACACCTACGTAAAGCTGAAAGGCTTTCGAAATCTACTCCTTCACTTCAGAACATTTCCCCCTACCACTCCCTCCTTTCCCAATTCCAACGTGCCCTGGAACTTGCCAAACTACACTACTTCCTGGCTCTCATCTTTAACATTGCTCACCACCCCCAACAACTATTCACTACTCTTACCCCAACACATTCCTACCTTACCCCTTCAGCTCTCAAATTTACCCATTCTCCACCAACATTTAATCTATTCGTTATACCCGTCTTACCTCCTTCCTGAGCTCACCTCAGCAGCCGCTTCCCCTACATCAACCCCACAATGACTGCTTTCACCATTTTCCTTGCAACTTCTGACTGAACTTAATTCTATCTCCAAAGTCCATTCGACTTCCTCTCCCCTGGATCCCATCCCTGCTTCCCTTTTACCCCAACTCTTTCCTTTAATTCTACCCGACCTAGTGTCACTATTCAATTCCTCCCTCTCCGCTTGTGTCTTTCCTGCAATATATTAGTCAGCCATTATTGTACCGCTCCTTAAAAATCCTCTCTTTATACCTCTTCCTCTGCCAACTACCGACCCATTTCCCTTCTCCCCTATTTCTCCAAACTCTTAAAACGCCTGGTACACTCTCGTCTTATATTCTAACTCTACCCCAAATTCCAATCTCGTTTTTGTCCCTCTCATTCAACTGAAACGACTCTTATTTTAGTTCAGATTCACCTGGCTAACTCTGCCCATGCTGGCCTCTCTTCTATTCCTATACTCTTCGATCTGTCCTCAGCTTTCGACACGGTTGACCATCACTCTTTTCTCTACCCTCTCTTCTCTTGGTATCTCTGGCATACCACTTTCCTGGCTAAAGTCCTATCTATGTGTGCATCTCTGCGATCTCATTCAATAATGCCACTCCCGCCCCAGCCCCCTTCACTGTTGGTGTTCCCCAAGGATTTGTTCTTAGTCCCCTACTTTTTTTTCTCTATCTGTCTGCTTGCAACTCTCCTTTCTTCGCTGAACTTTCCCCATAATTTTTGCGGAGATGACATCCAAATGTTCTCCTTTCCTTTTCCCCTGACCTCTCCTCCCACATCTTATTCTGCCTGGTTTCTATCTAATCTTGAATGTCACGTACTCTCTGTCCCTCAACCCTTCCAAAACTCAAATAATCTTTCCCCTGCCTCCTTTTCCCCTCCTCTCTGTCCCACCATTTCCCCTCCTTTTTCTATTTCCCCTACTTCCTTAGCCAGCAAAATTTGTATTATTTTTGACTCTTCCCTCTTTCTTACTGATCACATTTCCACGACAGCGCTGGAGTGCTGTCCTCCAGACAGTCTCGTCCCTTCACCTGATGAAGGCCGCTTGTGTTGTGGCCGAAACGTCGTGAGAATATTATTGTGTTATTTTATTTTTGAATTTTTTATTTTATTCTCATTCTACGTGACTTTACCGAAAGAACCAAAGAAGATGAATCCTTGCAGTCACGAAAGCTTTGAATCGAAACAATGGTTCGCTTTAATTTACTTGTTTAACGCTCTATCAAATTAAAAAAAACCTGCAATCTTATATTATGAACCATTTCTGAATAACACGCACAAATATGTTCATGGCGGACTTAAAATCGATATTTCAGGGCCTTAAAATGAAAAATCTAAAAGCCACCTATAGACCAAATTTCAGCTTTCTACCTTGTCGGGAAGTACCCGAGAGGTTATTGAGACGTACATCCAGATTAAGATCTTTATATATAGTAATCAAAATTATAATTTACGTTTGTAGAGTTGGGCATTTCATCCATAGATACCACCAATGTGCCCTATATATGAAAATCAGGAAATAGAAAATGCAGGGTAAACGGCCAGAACTAGGGGTGGTGGGGGGGAGTAAAGATTAATTTACCCACCCACTTACTCACCCGCTCACCAACTCACCCGCTTGCTCACTCAATTAACTACTCGCTCACTCAGCTCTGCACCCACTCGCTCACCCACACACTCACCAACTCATCTACTCATTTACCACCAATACTCTCACCCACTTGCTCACCTGCCCACTCACCCACTCGCTCAACAACAACTGCAATTCACCACTTAGTGGAGGTGATGTCACTAAGGCACTTGTGCCACGTCATGTGCACTTTAAGGCCAGGTGAAGTGTAACGCTCGCTGGCAGGAGGCCATGGGACAGATCCGGGCGCCATAGGTTGAATGACTGAGATGACTGACAGATAGATGCACCACCTGTGCCCCCTACTGTGACAACTTGCTGTACTTTATCTGCCTGTGGCTCTGCTCGTTATTGTGTCCCTCCTCTGCCCTCAGCTGTTGTTTAAAGGCGACTGCCTCTAACTGCCCAGTAACAGGCTTTATGAGTCTCCTCCACAGGGGTTGATTTTGACACCACTGTTATCAGTCACTGGCAAGTCCACTCAGCTCTATTGACTCGTGTACCACAAGAGTCAATCTCTTCTCTAGCCCATGCCACAGCCGTTTCTCCCCATCAATCCGGTCAAACAAAAGCTGTTTGGGCATGCGGGCTACATGACCCAGCCAAACGCAACCTTGCCTGCCAGATCTGCTCACCAATGGGACTTGTTTCCTGATTTTTTGAGGATTTGTGAGCTCTGCACACAATCCAGCTGGGTTAAAACCAGGATGGATCGTAGGCCACTCACGCATCAACTCATTTATCCACTCACTAACCCACATTCTCACCCATCCTCACTCTCACCAATGCATACACTCTCACGAGCCCAATCGCTCAACCAGGGTAAATGGCCATAAGTAGGCGGAGGGAAAAGGCTCATTTCAGGAGATGCTTTTTCAAGACAGACTTAACTATGTCTCACGACTCTGTCTTACTAATCAGGGTGGCTGCTACATTTGACCAGAGTGGTGAACCGAGTTTGCTGTGATTGATGACAGCACAGCAGTGGGTTCAGCCTGCTGAACGGCACATGGGCAAAACCTGCCCTGGAATTGGGAGAGGAAGTAGATTGAGCGGTACCTTCCAGTCAGCATGGGTGCCCTTATACAAGCAGAGCTCGCCTTCGTGCTCCTTAAGATGCTTTCCTCGAAGTGAGTACCAATTGTATCAGCCCTAAAAGGGGTAATCATACCGCATTGTATACTACATGGGGATGCATTCCTGGAATTACTTACCTACGAGCAATATATGAGGGCTTCATTGGGGTATCGGTAACAGTGTTCATAATAATTGATAAACATTTCGTAAATAAAAATGTATGAAAATATCACTTTATGTACTGTACTCATGAGTGCGTTTTACTATACTGCAAGGCAGTGGTGGGAGACAAGGTTGGAGGAGCTGCTGCTGCATTTTCAATGTTTTTTTCTTGGAGAAGAGCTCCAAGAACTTCGTAATCTGGTATTTTGAACTTCTTTTGCACCATGCGTAGCCAACCGTGCTAATCAGAGGTATAACTTTCTGTGCAGAGGTTTCTTTTAGGTGGAGCCCTGAGACTCTTATCCTGGTCTCGCGAGTTCTCAACCTGGTTAAGTAAATAAAAAAATGTTATTGAATCTAATTGTGGACGTGGGGTCTGGTTTGCTCAGAGTCGTGCGTTGCTCTCGTTGGCTGAGCGAATGATGGGGACAGTAATGTTTCCAAGACCAGCGCTGCTGCTGCGTGTTCTAACTTGCGAGTAAGCACTTTGTCGATTTTTCTTCATTTTAAATAAAAAATTATCTAGAAATAAAGCGGGATAGGGAATTGGTACTCTACGGGGTTGTGCTAAGCGAGGGCTGCTTGTATGTGCTGTGTAATATGTATGTATATATCTGCAGAATCGTTCACACGGAGCAGTGAGACTTGGAGCTGGAATTACAAGGCACCGATGCTTTCCAGTGTCCATACAGCACGAATGAGATGGGCAAATTGAAGAAACACCAGAGAACACGCACGAAAGAGAAGCCCTTCAAGTGCATGGTGTGTGGGAAGACATTTACACAGTCAGGATCTCTTAACATTCATCAGAGAAGACACACAGGTGAGAAGCCCTACAAGTGCACTGTGTGTGGGAAGGCATTTTCACTTTCACGAGATTGTCAAATTCACGAGAGAACACACTCTGGCGAGAGGCCATTCAAGTGCACTGTGTGTGAGAAGACATTTGCATGGTTACAATGTCTTCGTATTCATGAGAAAACACATTCTGGCAAGAAGCCATTCAAGTGCACTGTGTGTGGGAAGTCATTTGGGCTTCTACCAAGTCTTAAACATCATCAGAAAATACACTCCGGCAAGAAGCCCTTCAAGTGCACTGTGTGTGAGAAAGCATTTGGGGTGCCAGCACATCTTCAAAGACACCTGAAAACACACTCTGGCGAAAAGCCCTTCAAGTGCACTGTGTGTGGGAAGCCATTTGCACGGTCAGAAGGCCGAACGAGGCATGAAAAGATCCACAATGAGTCGACGGTGAAATCGAGACGTGGACGTAAAAAGAGTGCTGCATTGAGCCCATCTCGCATGGAACAAGGACCAGAAGACAACCCCAGCTTTGCAACGTCGCTAGCAGTGAAGGTGAAACATAAAGAAGTGAAGGTGAAATGTGAAGTGAAGGTGGAATGTGAAGAGGTGAAGGTGGAATGTGAAGAGGTGAAGGTGGAATATAAAGAAGTGAAGGTCAAATGTGAAGATGAAGATTCAACTCCAGGACCTGACCTCCAGGTGGATGAAGTCCGCGTGAAGCAGGAGGATTCAGACTGAGGGAGAACGAGGCTACCACAGGAAATTTGTGGATGTGGAGGTATGAGTAGACTTTTTTGGGGGAGTGGTGGTGTAACGACGGCCGGGTTTGATTCCTGCTCACGGCTAACACCAGTGACGATTATTTGAACCGGTCCTGGGCCTCCCCTAGGTCAACTTGGTCACAAATGAGTTCCTGGTACGTGTAAACATCGCCACTGGGAAGACAAAGGTGGTTGGGCATGATGCTGGCCACCCATCTGTCACGTTGCTTATCCACGGAGGGCTGATGTTTTGGGTGTATTGCGTCGAGCTGGTGTTAGACCACTCAGAGATCTGGCTGTTAGGGATGTCAGCTTTTATTTCTACACGAGCTGACACCTTCCACCCCCAAGCAGAGGAGCTATATCCTGGTAGCAGGCTACCACAAAGCAAATCAAACGAATAAGAATAAATCTTGACTTAAGCTTAAGTGACTGCAGGAATTCATATTCTTGGGTCTTTCGGTAGTCATGTAGTTTCAAAGAAAATAAAAAATAACAGAAAACTACGACGTTTCGATCGCAACGCAAGCGGTCGTTTTCAGGCAAAGGGAGGGTTAGCTTCCAAGGGAAACTGTTTATAAGGGTTTTAAATGGTCATAGCCCAAATGTCAGCAGCCAATGGTAATGTTTGGCAGCGAGCCCGGCGGTGGTTCGTTTTCTCATCAAGTGTCAAGTTCAAGTTTCATTTATTAGGTATAGCCCTGTGAGCCATGCGGCTCTTAAGTCGGGTGCAACCGCAACAAACAAAATTTGAACACAGAACATCCCAAAGCGACGACGCGCAACAGAAACATCCTGGAATAAACCAGCAAATATTCCACACAAAAAAAAACGTATTAAAACGCTGTGCAAAAATCACAATGTGGTGCAAGCCAACAACAACAACCATCATAAGACAATTTAGATTAACCATGTTTTCGAATCACCAAAATAAACTTATAAAAACAATGTAACAACAGTAATCATAGGAACTGTGATTTTAAGTTTAACAATAAACGATATACATAACACATACGACAAAACCTGCGGCCATAGCAGCAGTGTGAGTGAGTGTATGATGTGTGAGTCAGCGTATGATGAGTGAGTCAGTAGTAGCTTGAGTGAGTGATGTGTGAGTCAGCGCACGATGTGTTAGCCAGTGCATGATGAGTGAGTCAGTATATGATGTGTGAGCGAGTCAGCGGCAGTGTGAGTGAGTGTATGATGTGCGAGTGAGCCAGCACACGATGAGTGAACCTGTGTATGATGAGTGAATGGGTCAGTGGTTGTGCGAGTGTATGATGTGTGAGTGAGTAAGCGCATGATGAGCGAGTCAGTGCATGATATGTGAGTCAGTGCATGGTGTGAGTCAGTGTATGATGTGTGAGAAAGTGTCGGCTCCCTCTGCTCGCGCCATCGCCCCCCCCCCGGCTACGTCGCCCCCCCTGCTCCGTCGGGCCCCCCCCCCAGCTCCGTCGCCCCCCCCCCCCGGCCCCGTCACCCCCCCCGGCTCCATCGGCCCGGCTCCGTCGCCTCCCCCCCAGCTCCGTCGGCCCCCCTCCAGCTCCGTCGCCCCCCCCCCCCGGCTCCGTCACCCCCCCCCCCGGCTCCGTCGGCCCCCCCCCGGCTCCGTTGGCCCGGCTCCGTCGCCCCCCCCCCCTGGCCCCGTCGGGCCCCCCAGCTCCCCCGGCCCCGTCGGGCTCCGTCGGCCCCCTCGGCTCCATCGGCTCCCTCCGTCGGCTCCCTCGGCCCCCTCACAAACGGCCCTGCCAGCCGCTGCTGGGAGCGCACCCCGGGAGCGCCCCGGGAGCGCGCGCGCCTCAGGCGGCCATCTTGCTCACCGTACACGGCTGCCAGGTGAAGATTAGCATGTTAAAGAGAGATTAGAATGTTAATGGAAGATCGCAGAGCCGCAACCAAGGGGTCGGCGCGCAAAGTGACTATTAAAGCACAAGTTTGAAATGGGCGTAAAGCACAACTAACATCGGAAGGTGGTAGGATGGGAACATCACAGCCAATTATGACTTAAACTGGTTGATAACATCCTTCCAATGATTGCTCAGTTTGTACCCATATTCTCCGTTGACATTGTGTTTGTGTCTATATATATGGATGGCTTCATGAACAAATCTTTGTTGATAGCCAGTGGACTTGCAAAGTACCTTCGTCTTAGAGAAATCAATTTCGTGTGAGCCCACCGCATTAAAACAATGATCAGCCATGGCCGAGGTATTGGTCCTACCGTGTTTCAGATCTGCCTTATGTTCACGAACACGGTCCGAGACATGTCGCTTAGTTTCCCCAATGTAACTCTTGCCGCAGACACAACTTAGAGTCTGCTAATAAGCAGAAAACAACCCACACACATCCAACAACACCTAGTGTTCCTAACGCCTTCCTGAGACACAGAAGTCTCGGGGGAAGGGGGGGGGGGTCATACACCACCCCTACCCTCCCATATGCAACTCTGCTTTACAGATGGCTCCGTGTTCCTCCTCAGGCATTTCCACCCCTCGCCTGCTAACCCCTTGCAGTGGTCAGCTCGTGCCTCGAGCTTATCCCCTCTTCGAGCAGTGGGAGATGTCCACAGCCAGCCAAGCAGCCACCCAGGGAACCAGATGGCAAGTCTCCACGCTTGGCCAGTGCCAGGCTGCAGCCGGCTTCGTTCCTTGCTCCTGCCGCTCCTATCATGCCCTTGCTCCGTCCCAAAAACCCACCTGCCCTGGTTCAATCCCCAGGTCGGCCGCTGGAAACAGATAATAATAATACTGTCACCTAATGTTTCCCTATAAAATATATATTCCATTGAGTGGGAGACAGCCCTCAACTGCTACTTACAGTGAAGATCCCCTGGTCCTCACGTCGCTGCTTGAGAGTGGGAACTCGTCCAGACATTACGGATGGGTGGTTGTGGAGAAATACTGCCACCACCACTGCTGCTACTGCTGCTTCTCCGTTGAGATCCACCCAAAACCCCGCCACTGCCGATTTGGGTGCTCCTTTTATAGTGCTGCTCTTAGCGCATTGTTTAGCCCCTGGGCCAATCACGTGAGAGGTCTGACTATAAATGGTCTGACATTCCCTCTCCCTGGTTGGCCTGTTCCGCGCAAAACCTGTCCCTACGTTGGTCGACCACACTGTGGTGGCCCCTGGCTCCACACAAAGGACTGCACCCAAAAACACGAGTTTCCCTCTCCAGCTTAATGGGTATGCCGCACGTACTATGCAACACCATCCCCTTGTATGCCGTGCCGGCCTTCTTAGGTACTCAACAGCAATTGTCCCAAAAGTGTTAAGACTATAACGGGGATCTTTGTCTTTGGAGTTTTGGACAATGCAGAGTAGAAGAGTGCTGCATATTTGAAGTGGAGTCTGGGAAGATTTGTAACCAGGAGCTTGACACAATCCCCATAGTAGTCGCTGTATTCACAGGCTTCTCTCACATCAAGAGTCAAAAGAGCTGTAAGCACCATCCAGCCTGAAACGGAACTTTCAGCAAATTTGATGTAATTTTAACACATAGGCTTTCGCGACCAATATCATTCATAATAAAGGTTTTTGGGTTAGATCGCGTTATTTATAAATGTGCCATAACCCTCCACCACCCGACACGGCCAAACAGTAAAAACTGTGTCACGTTTACAAAGGACAAATAGTTCACTACTTTAGCCCACTGGTGTGTTGAAGAGTGAATGAACATCATTTGAAATTTGAGTACGACGTTTCACTCGTAATTACATCCAGCATCAGCGGGCAATTCGCCAGAATGGTAAAGCCCTCACTTGCTCCCGGTCTTAAATAGAGCAGCAGGGTGATGTCATTTAACTCATTCAGGTGCAGTGATTTGAGGCGGAGGGGGGTATTGTAATTATATAATCGATTGGTAATCAGAAAATGGTTATGAGTTGTAGATTAGTAATTAGTTGTAATGTGTGTTATTGTGATTATACGCAACGTTAGTAATCCGTTAATTAGTATGTGTTTCCCCTATAAGGAATTGTATGTATTATTTAATAATACGCTTCCAAGCCGCACTAAGCCTGTAGCTGTCACAGCGATTAAAGATATTTCTATTTCTCTCAATTTCAATGGATTCTCTAATTAGTCTTTACCAGTGATAATTAGTTTTACACAACACTTCAACGTTATCAAAATCAATTGAGTGTCCTTGTTGACAAGCATGTTCTGCCACTGCCGACAGTTGTGTTTGAGATAATTTAATGTCTTTGGTGTTCTTTTAGTCTCATGCTGATGTTACGTCCCGTCTGTCCAATATGTAATTGCTGCACAGTATTTAGTGCCCATTATACAAATAGTAGGGATGCCTTTTTTATCATTTAGCATTGTAATTTGTCGGTTATGTATTTCGTGATTGTGGTTCTATTATAACGGTTGCTCATTGCTTTAAACTTGCAGCCAGGTATGGCTCTGCCATTCTGTTTGCTCCGTAGCCTATTTGTATAATCTTCTTTGGTTCTTTCGGTAAAGTCACGTAGAATGAGAATAAAATAATAAATTAATAAAATAACACAATTAAATTCTCACGACGTTTCGGCCACAACATAATTGGCCTTCAGGTGAAAGGAACAGACCTGTCGGGACGACAGAGCTTCAATGAACGTTGTTAAGATTTGTAGGGTCTTTTAAGCTGGTTTAGAGAAGTGAGGCACCTTGACAAAGGGGTTTACATATCAAACAGGATAATTTAGCATTGAAATAGCTGAGTGATTCGCTTGTGACTGGTCATAGAAATAGCTATGTTAAAGTCAAAGCTTACACATCCACAGAGGCACCTAGTACAAATCAAACAGGATAATTTAGCATTGAAATAGCTGAGTGATTAGCTTGTGACTGGTCACAGAAATGGCTATGTTAAAGTCAAAGCCTACACATCCACAGAAGCACCTAGTACAAATCAAACAGGAGAATTTAGCATTGAAATAGCTGAGTGATTAGCTTGTGACTGGTCACAGAAATGGCTAAGTTAATGTCAAAGCCTACACATCCACAGAGGCACCTAGTATAATTCAAACAGGATAATTTAGCATTGAAATAACTGAGGGATTAGCTTGTGACTGGTCATAGAAATAGCTATGTTAAAGTCAAAGCCTACACATCCACAGAGGCACCTAGTACATGGGCGCCAAAGGGGCTGCAACAACTCGACTATCATATAGTAAACCGATGTGAAAAAACCCAAGTCTAAATTACATCAATATAATAAATGTACTCAATATATTCTTCAATAAGCTGAGCTATTAATAGTAACTGGGTATACACTACACTACATAATGAATACCAAATACTAAACCAATAAAAACTAAAATATAAACTACCTCAATGTTATCAATAAACTCTATATATTCTCCAATCAGCTAAGCTACCAACAATAAGTCGTTATATATCACAATGCTATATGGCGAAAAAAAATGTGTGGATTCTTAGCTACGAGCCCCGTTCAGACGGACGAGTTCATCCATGGTCGGAACGGAGGAGGGGGAGAGAGACAGCTGCGAGGTGCTGTTATACTCCATGTTGTAAACCATACCATTAACCGTGGTGTGAGAGGTATGAAGAGTCAATGCCAGCGAAAGAGCTGGGGTCTGAAGATCATCGTAAAATACAAGTAATTAAGAACCGAAATGGTTTAAAACATCTTTCCAATGGTTACTAAGCCAGAATCCATCTTCTCGGTTGAAATTGTCTCTGTGCTTGTATATGTGAATGGCCTCATGAACGAATCTCTCATGGTAGCCGGTTGGTTTGCAAAGAACCTCCGTCTTGGAGAAGTCAATGTCATGTGAGC